GCTCAATGGTTGGGGCAACCCAGGTTCCATCGCAGGTACTTTGGCAGGAAGAGGAGGTCATGATTTCTTCAGATTCTATCACAAGTATATAATCTTTTTCTTTTACCTTGATTATTATCTGCACTTATATTTCTTTGATGTCTTGTTGGGTATGGGTAAACAATTGTCTCTGGGTCAGTTTTATATTTTTACCTGGGTTATATCATCAAGAAGAATTATATGCCATTTTGCATGCCAAGATTCATTCGTGGGTTGTATATTTATGAGTGAGATTCAGTTGTTTGGGTGATTGTTTTGGTTCTTCGTTGGGTTCAATTTAGGGGTTTTGATTGAGATATCTTTAGTCGAATCAACAATATTAGTTCTTCAGCAAAGTCAGTGTGCGGGTGTGATAACATTGTTCATGTGGGATTGGCAATCGTCCATGGCATGAACTTTGGATCCAATCACTACCGTTGCTAGGGAAGGAACAGTAGCAAGGAGATGAATGTGGCAACCACATGAGCTTGTTTGGTTATTGGAAGTGCCAGGGGAATTTCATTATTGCAAGGGTTGGTAATGGCTAGAATTCAGAGATTATGTGGAGGATGGGGAGTTGGGGTGAAGATTTACCAGTTCAAAGCAATGGTTATGGTCTTTTTCACTAGCATAAAAGAATCAAGGATTTGGTGCGGTATCATAGGAAGTGATTGGGGTTATCAGACCAACTAAGAGTTTGGGGAGTATTCATCTGGATTTCAAGAGTTGGGCGATCATCGAGATTGGCTAGCAATGTGTCGGTGATTTTATATAATTAATGTTATTTAAGTGTAATGGGTTAATTTGTTGATCAATGTCATTTTGACAATTATTGAACAAATCGGTATGGTGTGGAGTGCACATTTGTTCAATTTTGTCTTTGTGGAAAGTATATTGCTGTTTAGGGGCGAAGCCCCTAAACCGATGGGGGCCCGAGGGCAGCACCCCTGGGAGAGGGGTCCAAGGGGCCGTGAAATTTATATATATATATATATATATATATATATATATATATATATATATATATATTATGTTACTATATTAAAATTGCATCAGAAATCCGGATTTTTTATACATGTACCCAGTTTTGTGATCCGTATTCTAGACCCGGATTTAAGGTTGTTTATGACCGTTTGTGGACAGTTTTAGGACATAAAACTGTCACGTGGCAGTTTTAAGACAAGAAGTTTTCTGTTATATGATGACATCCGAATCTGTGGTTGGTACACTTCTTCTTCATAACATCAAAACATTCTCTCTTCTGTTTTCTCTCAATTATGAGTCTTATCCGATTAAAGATTGGGAGTACTACCCAAATACTTTAATCTGAAAGTGAAAGCCACAATTCTCAGAATTTCCAAGTTTTTTCTATACCCCAATTCTAACACAATGGAACGCTAGTATTAGTAAGCGCACATCATCGTCAGTTTATATTATATGATGGTAAGATGGGTTAGGAATCCATCAATTTTTGTGGGATGGGAGAGATTTGATGAATCCAAGTAGGGGAGAATCATTCAGAATTCAAAGGAGCTGGATCGGGTGTGGAAGTTTCACATCCCATTTAGGAGGAAAGATGACTCAAGTGGCCATATGGATTGAAGTCGTGTAAGTTGGGAGTTCAGGAAACTTCCAACAGCTTGTCGATGTCTTCTTTGTGATGTATAGCAGGCTTGTGGATGGATCTACGTTAAGGGTTGTGTTAGAGCCTCGCTGCTTGTTCATAACCATTTTTTGCCAATGACCACCACCGAATAACTTACCATTAACCTCCAATGTCATCACTTTCTCTCAATCTCTCTTCCTTGTTACCACCTCTATTGTTCGTGAATGCTAACCGAACACAAGGATCTGCCATGGACAATCCCAAAATAAATCAAACATTTTGCAACCACCTGTGTATCCTGTGTGTAGGCCCTAAAAGAAATTGGAAATCGAAATACATAGGTTTAGGTATTATCTTCCCCTTCAAGCCAAGAACAGGGCTATTTCTTGCTGTTGTGCGTGTCTCTCACTCCTTCTTTAATTGATGGTAAAGAATTAAGAACAAGGGCATCTGGAACAAAAACAATTCAAAGTTTGGGAAACACGATTCCAAATGGTTTCCAAGGAAGATTATTAACGAACAAAATAAAAAACAAGTGAAATATGCACTTTTATTTATCTTTGATGCATGTTAACTGTTTTGCCCCTTCCACGAACAAGCATCAAGTCGATGCAGATTTTGATTTATGATTTTAGTTGGTGACTCAAAATAAAGAATGAGGTTCAAACCAAAGAAATAGAAAATGAAAAAGAAACTGAAAAAAATCCTTGTTGGGCTGTTGTGTTGCTTCACCAACTTGTACATCCATGGAAATTGAAATGAAGAAGAGATTCAAACTAAGGAAATCAATAGGAAGAGTGAAACCTAATCAAAGTAAGGTGAAATCTTGGAGAGAAGAACATTCTTGTGAAGGTATATAATTGAGAATGGGGAAGGTGGTGTTCTTGAAGATAAACATAAGTTTGTGGTGGGCGAGGACGTGATTGATAGATTAATATCTATTTTAATTTAATTTTTCTTTTTAGTGAGAAAGCCAAAACAATAAGGAATCCGACAATTACAATTCAAGGTCCATTTTTAGTAGGTAAAAATTGACTTTATGCCTCAAAATTACAAAAAAATAATATTAGGAACCTTTTAAAACAAAACTCGATAGTTAGTTGGATTACAATGACATTTGTCCATAGTTTTATATTTCTATTGCGTTATTATTTTTTTTTTTTGCAATTTCGATTTAATTTGTATACAGATATTAACAATCATCTTCATACTTCCATTAATTACAAAGACAAACTACATGAAAAGAAAGCACCATGGTTTCAAATTATATATATATATATATAGTTATATAGTTATATAGAAAAAAAAAAAATCATTTTTAGGACATTTTCAGTATAATTTCAAACCATAGTTATTCTAGTTTATAGCATATGTTAGAAGTCTCATTATTAAAACATATACAATAGAACCTCTATAATTTAATACTCGATAAATTAATAACCTCGATAAAATTAATAATTTGTCTAGTTCCAACTTGAGACTAATACAAAATTCGACATCAATCGATATAATAATAAAATAATAATTGATATCTCAATGTAAATATATTGATCCCAACGAAACTATAAATTAATAATTATTAAAATATTCCAAAATTCTAGAATTATCTAATAGTAAAATATGAACCAATAGTCACCTTTTTTTTTATTATTTTTTTTTATTTTTTTTTTTTAACTTCAAATCTATATTGAGTTCATCTTTAAATCTCCTAATTGCACTTAAAAGTTGAGGCACTGTATTCTCGTATTGCAACAAAAAGTTGTGAAGAGTTGTTGCCGCTTGCAATGCTTCTTTCCGAGTGACCGGTTCCAAATGTACTGAATCATCATCAATCGAAATTTTAACGGTATTCGCGTTGCATTATTTCGAGAGTTGTTCACGAATATAAGCCAACTCTTTAAATTAATAATTTATTAATTTATTGATATAATAATATCTTGCTAAATTAATAAAATATCACAGTCCCAACACTAATAACCTACAAAAAATAGGCTATTTGATTCTATCGTGGATCTTTCTTTTCGTTTCAGAATTTTAAGGCTCGGGTTAATCAGATGATATGTTTATAAAATTCAGTACGACCTTAATTTGTTCTTTTCTCTAGTTCCTTGCTAGATGTTTAGCTTTTTAATATATGATGTTGCTGTTAAAAAAAATTATAGAGGTTTTACTGTATGAAGTTGATGGTTAATATGGATGTATAAAATAAAATCGCACAAAAATAAAAAAATTGAAACCAAAAAACCAACAATTTGGTTTTTGGTTTAAAAAAAGATTATTTTGATTCAGTTTGGTTTCTTATACATAAAGTGGAACTGAAATATCAAAAATTATGTCAATTTATATATATATATATATATATATATATATATATATATATATATATATATATATATATATATATGGTTAAGTTAATTTGAGACCACCTATATTTTGTGAGACCGTGAGACACATTTTTTTATTTTTTTAGTTAATTCATGTTCCGAAAATAATATTTAAAAAAAGAATTTTTTGATTTTTCCATTTATTTTGCAGTTTAAAATTATTTTTAGAATATGTACAATGTAATATTCTATTTAGAATATTTCACGTATTTTTTCAAAAAAAAAAGAATTTATTTTATTTTATTTTTTATTTTTTTTAGTTAATTCAAGTTCCGAAAATAATATTTAAAAAAAGAATTTTTAGATTTTTCCATTTATTTTGTATTTTAAAATTATTTTTTAGAATATATCAGTGTAATATTCTATTTAGAATATTTCACGTATTTTTCAAAAAAAAAAAACGGATTTTTTTTTTAATTTTTTTTAGTTAATTCAAGTTCTGAAAATAATATTTAAAAAAAGAATTTTTGGATTTTTCCATTTATTTTGCATTTTAAAATTATTTTTAGATTTGGTCTCACGGTCTCACAAAATTATAATGGTTTCAAATGAACCTGAACATATATATATATATATATATATATATATATATATATATATATATATATTAAAATAGTTATCATATATTTACAACTTTTATTAAAAAATAAAATAATAAATATATGTTGGCCTATCTTGCATTCTGTTTTAAGAAATTCTGTTTTTAGCAAACATTGCAAAAAAAAAAAAAAAAAAAATGAAAAAAAAAACAAACCAACAAGATTAAAAAACAAAAGAATCAAAACCGAAAAACCAATGATTTATTATTTCCAAAGTTAAAAAAAATGAAATTTTTTGTTCAAACCACCATTATGGTGGTTAACGCTTAACAGACTCTGCTTTATGGTTAGAAATCCATTCTGATTTTTTTTTTTTAAATGACTTGTTTTTTATCTTTTTTTAAAACTTTAAAAAGAATAAGAACGATTTTTCATACCAAAAAGCAAAATAATGATTTTTCTATCTGATTGAAAACGTATTGTTTTTCTGAAAATCCATTATTACAAATAAAAAACAATAATCATTTTAAAAATTAATTTCCAGACGTAATACTGTAATACATGTACGGAAAATAAAGAAAATAATAATAAGTAGGCGAGCAGGAGGCGGAAAACTGAACCAAATCTTTTCACCAAACAAACTCTTTCTTTGATTTGTATTCGATTTTTAGGGCTTGTATTCTTTGTTTTGAAGAAGATTTTTAGGGCTTTGTATTCTTTCAAGTTTCAAATCGTATAAATGGATCCATCAAATCACCCTTCCGACACCGAAATGTCCGAGGCGGCTGCGGCCCCTCCTCCGTCGCAGCAGCCCTTGACCGGAATCGACAACATCCCGGCGACCCTCAGCCATGGCGGTCGTTTCATCCAGTATAACATCTTTGGCAACATCTTCGAAGTTACTGCCAAGTATAAACCCCCAATCATGCCCATCGGCAAAGGCGCTTACGGCATAGTCTGGTGTGTTCTCTCTCTCTCTCTCTCTCTCTCTCTGTGTGTGTGGATCGATTGGTGCTTGTTTTTTCTGTTTTTTTTTTTTTTTTTTTTTTTTTTTTTTTTTTTTTGTTTGTGGACTGATGATTTTCTCTTGTTTTTTTTATATGTACTCAGTTCGGCTTTAAATTCGGAGACGAATGAGCATGTTGCGATTAAGAAGATTGCCAACGCCTTCGATAATAAGATCGATGCGAAGAGGACACTGCGAGAAATCAAGCTTCTCCGTCATATGGATCATGAAAACGTCAGTGAGTAGTAGCATTTGATGTGTTGGATCATGTTTGTTTTTGGTAGTGATTTTAATGCAATCAGTAACAATCACATCCATAATCAACTGCAGTTAATTACTTGATGCTGATTGTTACACCAATCTGACAAAACTCTTCTGCCAAATGTTAGACATAATCTAAAAAGTTGTCCTCCATGTTACTTTGCCCCTCTAGTTTCGTTTTGCTATTCTGGGTCGATTTAGGGGTTGGAAATTATTGATTAGGAGACTTTATTAGCTGCCAAATGATTAGGGCACTTTCTAATTTAGTAGTTACTTCATCCTTCTTCATTAGTCATCTTAGCTCATCTTTGTGTGTTTGTGGGGTCTATAGTAAAAAATAGTTAAATATGATCTAGAAAACTTATCTAGATGCCTTTGGTAAAAGGATGTCAAAAGTCAAAGCAATGTGACATTAGTTAACATATGATAACAAAACAATCATGAATCACATGATTTACTGTTCATGAAGATTTTTTTTTCTGTGTTTGGTATATGTAAATTTGGGGATTTAGGTTGACTCAGCTATTATAGGATGGAAAGCCAACTAGAGGTTTATTAAACTTGGAACTTTGTAAATTCATGGATTTAGTTGAGACACATATTTGGTTTTTAATCAAAATTGAAGATAATTTAGGGCTTTTTTCCATACTCATTTAGTCATGTATGGATAAATATTTAATGATGTTTGTCTGGATGAAGTGTTGTATACACAAAGACTGTTTCTTTTTGTACTGAAAAAAAAAATCTCATTTTACCCTTCTGTATAGAACTGGTGATAAATAACAAACGGCTTTATTTTGAGAAATGTTATAAATCAAACTTTATTTTATATAAATAATAACAAACATGTAATTATATAAACTGACATTATGATTAGTAACTTAAACTGAACATATTAGTTAAGAATTGCTTTGATTGTGGATAAATTTCAACTTTACCAAATATGTTAAGATAAGAAGGTTTCACATTAGCTTTGATCTCAATAAGTTATTAAACTTATATTTTCAAAAAAAGGTTCCTCATTAATTTTTATCTTTAAAAAGCTATTAGAATTCGGTTTCATAATTAATAACAGACTACATTTTTTTTACTAGTTGAAAATTATGTAATTCAAAGTCAACTTTTATAATGATATTCACATATTTAAATGTTTTTATCAAGATTTGAACCCATCTCTTATCATGAATTTACCAATCTCATTAGCTAATTTCGTTAAAACTGTATGAAAAGCATGTAATAAGTACAACTCTAAAAATATGAGTATATGATTGATAACAAACTTTATTCAAATATGTAAATATGTAAATGCAAATAATGGTCTAAAAATCCACAATCTGTCTAGATTAAGTCAAAAAGAAACAACCCCTTAGATGCCTACGGTAGAATCATCTATAGCATAAAAGTTATATTTTGATACTTTATATATCTTTTAACCTTTTCTGCTAGTTTCAATTCCATCACTTTTTCACTTCAATCTATACATATACAATTCTATACTTGTTGCCCTTATCGTATCTTTTGAAAAAAAAATAAATCTTTATTAATCTTAATGTAGGTTGTTGCAATTAGAGATATAATCCCACCTCCAGAGAGAACATCCTTCAATGATGTCTACATTGCTTATGAACTCATGGACACTGATCTCCACCAAATAATCCGTTCTAACCAATCTTTATCAGAGGAACATTGCCAGGTATATATAATTATATATTTCAATATTTCATAAAATATGTTTTTTAATTCTATAAAATTTTGTGTCTTGCAGTATTTTCTGTATCAAATCCTTCGTGGGTTGAAGTACATACACTCTGCAAATGTGTTACACAGGGATTTAAAGCCAAGCAATCTTTTATTGAATGCAAATTGTGATTTAAAAATATGTGATTTTGGATTAGCACGTGTCACATCTGAAACCGATTTCATGACAGAATATGTTGTGACAAGATGGTATAGAGCTCCTGAGCTTTTGTTGAACTCTTCTGATTATACTGCTGCCATTGATGTGTGGTCTGTTGGCTGCATATTCATGGAACTCATGGATAGGAAGCCATTGTTTCCTGGTAGAGATCATGTTCATCAGCTTCGGTTGCTAATGGAGGTAATTTTCTTTGCTGGTGTTTCTTTTCTATGTAGTAATCCAAGAGGAAATGGAAAAAGAGAAAAAAAATAATTTATGTTTGCTTGTTAGATTGGAATGGAATCGAGCGTTCCTGATGGAATGTGATTCCTTCTTCTTGGTTGGTTTTCTTTTCAAACTCTTTATTTGATAGGGACTGTTTTTGTAACTTTTTTAAACATATGGGCCGTTTCTGCAAAAGAATCTGCATATGAAACTTTTCTGTAAATTACTGGGACAGTTTTTGTTAAATTTTTTCTACACGGACCAAATCTGTCAACATACGAAAGTCTTTAAATACATGGACCGTTTCTGTAAGTTTTTTTATTCGCACAGGGACCATTTTTGTAATTTGTTTAAGCATGTGGACCGTTTTTGTAAAACTTTCAAATATATGGACTGTTTCTGCAAAAAAAAATCTGCATGTGAACCTTTTCTGTAAATTACAGGGACAGTTTTTGATAAAAGTTTTCTACAAATTTTCCAACATATGGAAGTGTTAAACACATGGACCGTTTCTGTAATTTTTTGCACAGGGACCATTTTTGTAATCTTTTTAAACGTATGGACCGTTTTTGTAATTTTTTAAACATAGGAACCGTTTCTGCAAGAAAATCGGCATATGAACCTTTTCTGTAAATTTACAGGGACAGTTTTTGTAAATTATTTTCTACACAGGGACCAAACCTGCCAACATACAAAAGTCTTGAACACATGGACCATATCTGTAATTTTTTTTGCACAGGGACCGTTCTTGTAATTTTTTATAAATATATGGACCTGTTTTTCTAATTTTTTTAAACATATGGACCGTTCCTGCAAAAAAAATCTGCGTACGAACCTTTTCTGTAAATTACAGGGACAGTTTTTGTAAGTTTTTTTTTACATAGGGACTAAACCTGCCAACATATGAAACCCTTGTGGCCAAAATCTCAAATCTAAAAATATCCTATTCATTTCTCAATGGAAATTAGTATATGTTATAATGTTTCTATTTTAAGCTTATATGGTGTTTACTTTTTTAGTTGTGTTAAAGATAGCTTTTGAAGTGATTTTTTTTTTTTTTGTGTAAATGGTATTAAAAATGATTTAAAATTTGCAGCTTATTGGAACACCATCAGAAGCTGAATTAGGGTTTCTAAATGAAAATGCAAAAAGATACATTCGACAATTGTCTCATTATCAAAGACAATCGTTCAATGAAAAGTTTCCTCAAGTTCATCCTGCAGCCATTGACCTTATTGAAAAGATGTTGACTTTTGATCCCAGACAAAGAATTACAGGTCAGAATTTGGTTTTCCAAACTATATTTATCATGTAATAAAAACTTTAACCTTTTAAACAAACCAATGTTTTATAATCTTGAAAAATCAACAATCTTAATTATAAAAATTGTGTAATTAATAAAATGAAACAAAAGTAATAAATAAATAAATGAAAGCAGGTTGCTATTTGTTGAAACTTTGGATTTTAATTAAAAACATTGTGTAATTAATTAATTGTTGGTTTCAGTTGAAGATGCATTGGCGCATCCTTATCTGACATCACTGCATGACATCAGCGATGAGCCAGTTTGCTTGACGCCTTTCAACTTTGACTTTGAGCATCATGCACCCACCGAGGAACAAATGAAGGAGATGATTTACAGGGAAGCTCTTGCCTTTAATCCAGAATACCAACAGATGCTGTGATGACAGAGGAATTGAAACCAACGGAATGGAATCACCGATTCCGGTTGGTTGGTACTTGGTACTTGTTTGTTTGTTGTGTGGTTTTTTTACCCTTTTTCGTTTTTATTAGTAGTGTGTTGTTAATGGTAAAATGGTAAAATTGTGTTTTGTTAAATGATTTCATAATTGTGTTTGTTTGTTTGATTGTTTGTTTGTTGTATATAAAAAAAAAATGGGAAGTTGGATCGGTTGGTTAGGGCCATAATTTGGCTGCCAAAATAACATTTAGATCTTGTGTCTTTTGTTGTTGTTTTATTATCAATATTATTTAAACAGTTAGACTTTTTTTTTTCTTTGAAGCTGAATTTTTCATAAGATGAATTACATAAAAGCTTTTCTAAAAGATATCAAGATATGTTTAAATCCTATCCTAATATGTGTGTGTATGTATTGAAGTTTGTAGAAATCTTAACTAGAGAGTAAAGTTAAGATTATTGATAGAATTACAAAATCTGAAAATGAAGGCCATAAATACAAACCATTGCTTCAATTACCCATTAATTACACATTTTGTTATGAGTTACAACAACAAAATCGAACAATTTCACAAAAATACAAACTATGAAGTTACATATAATAATAATAATAATAATAATAATAATAATAATAATAATAATAATCATACAAAGTCTCACGACAAATGTCACATGAAGTATGAATTTTTAAGTTAATATTATAATTTGTCACCAAAATGGAACAACCTTCAACTATATAGAGATTAACTAACTGAACAACAAACAAAAAAATAACAATGAAAACGTAGTTTTATTGATAAAAACATAACTTCTAACCATATGTTTGATTTAATTATCAATAGCTAAATTAGCAATTAGCAAGTTCCTTGTACCAATGACTCAATTACAAAAGATGTTGCAATTAATACATAGTTGTATTACATTTAAAGTATTCAAACCATATTTTCATGAATTTATTTATATTTAAATTGTATTTTCATGTTTTTATTTACATTTTATATTAAAATCACATATATTTATATTAAAATTGTCTGTTTAATAGAAAAATATGATTATAATAAAAATATTACAAATTTATACTTGTGCCATTTGTTTTAAAATTAAATACGTTATGATGTCACATTTGTACCAAATAACCAAATAAAGCTATGTCAGCATGCCATTCCACCACAAATCAACACATTAATATTCCATATCAGCGGATAACTGAGCTAGCCAGTTACTTAGTAAACAATGTAAAAAATTAAATAACTTAATGACTAAATTGAAACAAAACGCACTGGTAAAATTGAATAGTGCCTCTGTGCAATATACCTTTTTATTTATTTATATAATTTAAGTTTTAGTAAATGTTTTCCATAACTATTTATTGCATCACCCTTGAATTTACATTGATGGTTTATTTTTGTGTTATTATTACTATTAGATTAAATTAAATTTTATATATAAATTTTTTCTTAATTTTACATTTCCTACTTTTTTTTTTCTTGAACAAATTTCTATTTTGTTCATGACCATTAACAATTGTGACCAGTGATGTATCAGATCCTAAACCGAAAAATAATGAAGTTTAATGTATGTGAATAGCATTAGATAACAATTCTTTGCACCAATTGATTGACCTTTGAAGGCCAATTACTAACAGAAGACTCATAATAGGCAATGCTAATTTATATGACCACTGTGATTAGAATTAGGGGCGAAGCCAATCTTTTTCTAGAATGTTCGTCATAAATTAGTTAGAAACACACACACACACATATATATATATATATATATATATATATATATATATATATATATATTATATATATATATATATATATATATATATATATATATATATATATATATATATATATATATATATATATATATATAGGGTCTGTCTATTAATTTTGAAGGCCCAGTGCAAAACTAAAATTAGGCCCCTCTAAATACAATTTTTTTTTTATATATAATCAAAATAAATTCAAGGGAGTCGGTTGTAACATGAGTAAACTAAAAAAGTAACTAAATTAATTAAAATAAAAAATAAAACTTTATAAAATAATGAGGGGCAGAATATATAAATTTTTAAAACTGATTTGTTAAAGAATTTAGAATATTGGTGAACTTGTGAAAATGAGAGTACAAATAAGTGGCTAAAACTAAATTTGGAGTTATGGTTTAAACGAAGTGGAATTAAATGGATTGCATGTTCAAAAAGTTGTCGACAAATGGTATCGAATGTAGTTATCTCGGAGGTGGACGCAATGCTTTTACCAGTTGAGCTAAAGAACTTTTACGTTTATAATTGCACGAAATGCTATTTATTAACAAATTAACAATATAAAAGCAAAAATAAAATAGAATGAGAATCTGAGGGTGGGCTTGGGGCCACATTGGCTCTAATGTGGCTCCACCGATGATTAGAAGACGCCATATTATTAGGATTAGTGAATAGACAAAAGAAACTAATAAGCATAGAAATCAGTAAATGACAAACGAATATTCATTGCACTTAATACAAATCAACCATAACCGAAGAATGTAACAGAATCTAAGTGAAAGCACCTTTATGATATGTTTCCAATTATTTTTCCATTGTTTGATTTGTGTCTGCTGCTTTTGTTAAGTATAAAACTTGAATGATTGATTAGATTCAAACAGGTAAAAGACCCAAAATACAGAAAGAAGATCAAAATTGTGTCGAATGATTAATAAGCACAACCTTAGAAGAGCTCTATGAAAAACTGCTATTGTAAAGGTTGTGTAGGGTTTACAACTTTGGACGATTACATGATATGGTGCATGCATGTACTTTAAATAGTAAAACCCTAATAATAAATGACAGGTGGATAGGTCCATCCTGCTATACAAAACATGGACTAAATAATAAAACAATTGATGCAATCTATATGACTCAACAATCTCCCCCTTTGCGTCAATTGGGAAGGAGACCTTTATGGTTTAGTATGCCTCTAAACTTCAAAAAGCTTCGGAACAATGCTCAGAAAGGCCTTGCAAACCTGGATATACCAAAGAATCATATCGGAGAAACACTTCTTATCCCCTTTACGATTCGCTTTGCACTTATCCATAAACTCCAAAATGTATTGCAGACAAGAAGTGGAGTAAAGATGATTGTCAGCAAGATAGAAACAAACTTTGTGGAAATTAGCATCTGTTCGCTCTTTGATTTGAAATGCCATGCACTAGCCTTCCTTTCATATTTTCCCCTAGGGGTGAGCATTTGGACCGATGAACCGGACCAGAACGTTTTTTTGGATCCCGGGCCGGTTCTCAGTTCTAAGATTTCTCTCCGGTCCGGTCCAATTTTTTTCCCGGTTAGGTCCGATTTTTACCGGGTTTAGAACCGGTTGGACATGATTAAGATTTTTGTGATGTTTTTTAAACATACATAACTCATTCGTTTTAAGTCGAATTGACATGTGATTTTTTCAAACATTTAGTTTATAGTTTGTAAATGAATTTAGACTATAATTTTGTTTATTTTGGTATTATATTCACCTTGTTACAATCCTTTAAAGTAGAGCTATCAAAGCTGAAAAAATTCAGCTTTTCAGCAACATTTTGTAATCTGTGACGTTTTTTAAACACCCATAACTCATTCGTTTTAAGTTGGATTGACCTCTGATTTTTTCCAACATTTAGTTTATAGTTTTTAGATGAGTTTAGACTATAATTTTGTTTATTTTGGTATTATATTCACTGAGTTTATCAAAGTTGAAAAAATTCAGCTTTTTAGCAAGATTTTGTAATCTGTGACGTTTTTTAAACACCCATAACTCATTCGTTTTAAGTCGGATTGACCTACGGTTTTTTACAAAATTTAGTTTACAACTTGTAGATGAATTTAGACTATAATTTTGTTTATTTTGGTATTATATTCATTGAGTTACAATCCTTCAAAGTAGAGCTATCAAAGCTGAAATATTTCAGCTTTTTAGTATTATTTTATACTATAATTCTGAGTTCGCGTTTAGCACATGTGGTAGAGTTGTAAGTGAGTATAAAACTAGTTTATCGACATTAATAGTTGAAGCTTTGTTATGCACCCAAGATTGGGTGATAAAGTTTACAAATCCGATAGTTGATAACGTTGATGATATCTTGAACGATGATAATATAGCTTTGGGTAAGAAAATTACAATCTTTATTCTTTGTTTTATACAATTATTACTTTTATTAAATAATAACAACATTTTCATTTGTGTTTATGGAGAGATTGCACAAGCTTTAAATATGCTACATATGGATGATAATGATATGGGGAATAGGCCAATGAAAGATTCGATTATGAGTTTATGAAATTTGTTAGTTTGATTGATTTTAAAGTTTAAACTATGATTTTTGTTGTTACGGTAATATTTTTGTATGTTTGTCTTAAAATTGTTTAAATGTTTGTCTTAAAATTGTTTAACTTTTTTTGGTGAACTTGATTTATATGTTAGTTGCTTTTATTTGGAAAATTAATTTTTGCAAATTGCAATTTATAATATTATACATCAATGTAGATTAGTTAGGCATGAAACGGAAACATATTAATTTTGCAAGTTGTAACATTATACATCAATGTAGATTACTTATTATACTCTATGCAATTAAAGTTGTACCGGTCCAAAAACCGGAAAACCCGGACCTGAACCCGGACACGGACACAAACACGGACACGACTCATCCGGTCCGGTCCATGGTCCACAAAATTCTCCATAACCGGTCCGGTCCATTCCGGGTCGATCCAAATGCTCACCCTTATTTTCCCCAGCTTTATTTTGTCAAAATCTTCTGGAGCGGCCTTGGGGAATATTGTCGGCTTCTATCTGAAAACTATTGCAATCTCGATGTCCATTTTGCCAACCTCTTGAATGTACGAAACTAACATTCTCTTGAGATGAGCAACAAAATTGAGCAGCAAAATCCAGTCGTACGGGTTCAGGAAAGGTAGATTAGCAAGTGTAAACTCGCATACCTGACCTGTCGGACCTCTAACAACCTTGAAACGAGCGTTCGGGAAGCTATCGATTTTAATCGGTCCTGAAACCTTAACAACTTTTATCTTTTTCGCACTCCAGGTTTCATACTGAGGCTTTATGTGCTTTAAGTAGAGGGAGAAGAGCAAATGATCATCACCATTGTCAGTTGGAGGCACATTTGCAACTTTGATGAAGCTACGAAACTTGAAGGCTTTCGGTGTGATTGGAAGATCCAATTGTGAATCTTGTGTGTTTTGCAAGTCGAAAGATGCAACAGGCTCTAACCAATATTGTCTTGGACTGTCGACTGCCTCATTCATAATTCACTACAAAGTCCACAATGGAAATAAAA